TCTGAATAGGACGGCGTTTGGGAGGAGGAGGCAGGTGGCAGATGCAGGAGACTCGCAAATAAAGCGAGACATCAGACAGGCATACTCCCTGCTCTGCCTGCAGACAATCTGTGCGAAATGATTTCCTGTCTCTGATAGAGTGAGACTTCCGTACAAGAGCTCAGATCTGTGCCTATACTGTACCAAAAACCTGTTCTTTGTAATCCTGGATGAGGACTCATTGCTGTGAGTCATTTCTCGGTGAATACTTTTGCTGAACATGTAGAAATAAACTTACAAACATCTCACTATCCAAAATAATCAACTCTGGGATAAAAGAAAACCACAGATAGTATAGAAGACAAATCAAGCTATAAGAAGTTGATTATTTTGCTGTCTGCAGAGTACAGATATTTCCAAGCTAGCAGAGCACACTTGGAGTCATCTCTGCATATCACACCGTTAATCCATACCCAGGACAAACAGAGATAACTCCTTTGAACCAATACAAAGGGAAATCAAGCACTGACATGCAGAATGTTTTCATCTTACCAAGTATGGGCTTTTGGAAGGTTGTCCGTGTTTGCATCTATTAAATGGATGGTAAACAGTCTGGGTCCTGCAGCGCCTGTAGAACCTTACAGACAGACATTCTAGTTAATGCACTTCAACAAAACATCATTCACGTACACAGATTTTGCTACTTATGAAAAGGCAAGAGAGAAAATTACAGTTCCAGCTGCAAACGTAAGTATGTCATAGGCTAAATCTGTAGATCAGATTTGCAGCTGATGAAGGGATGGCAGAAGTGACAGGGCTCTTCATGACGATGAATTTGCAGACTAGTATTTTGGAAAGCTGCTAAATTTTATATTAGCAAAGTTGCACTTTCAAAAATGAAAAGACTTAAGTGCAAGGAGGTTTTCCTTGTAAAACAGAACTATGCATTTTCATTTTGAACATCAGTTTACTGTCAGCCAACAGATGGAATGTTATCAGGAGAATCATAACAGCCTAGGACACTGCCACCTTTTCTGATGAAAAAAATGGCAATTTTCAGGAGCTTGTTTTAAAGCGCAATGGTTTGATACCAAAAAATGAAGAGAATACAGTTTTCATGTGAAAAAGTTGTTTGGTCAGCTCTATAATCATGTGCGTGCTTGCACACAATGATTTTAACATTAGTCCACAGAGTTGCAGGAAACTGATAAGCTAATATCGACACCAGTCACCATGCTACATGATGACAGATTTACCAGCTTCTATCAGTATCAGAAACAGCTAAAGTGCTCACCATCAGCAGAGCTGCTGACAAATGAAAAACTGCTCTAGGGATCTAAAGTTTCTAAGTGCTCCAGTTATCCAGTAAGACGCTGATACTTTACAAGGGGCTAGTAAATACCACACAATTTTTATCTCCGTCTCCCACCACAGATTAACTCAGCCTCCACATCAGTCACCTTGTAAAGCCTTGAAACCTTGAAGTGGGACACGCGTCGAACCCGTCACAAACTGCAGCAGTCTCGCTCTTCTTTCTTCATCAAATGTTTCCACTGCTTGCCAGAACCACTTCACAATATTGCTATCTGCCATGCAGTGCTTTAGACGTGTGTTTGACTTCCAGTCATTCAGGTCTATCTTATCCAGGCCTCCTATGATTAGCTGTTAAAGGATTAGAAAAACGCTTTAACATTGAGTCATTTCAGGTTTGCAGCTATAAAAACATACATCCAACTATTTCACGAAATCTAGCATTCTTCACGTGCTTGAACCACCTTTCTGATGCATGGTAACACTCCAAAACAGTTTAGAACAGGCAGTAAATCTCTACAGCTAAACTGCAGTGAAACTGAGGCCAAGGAGTACACTTACCAGAACTAGAATTTTCACAAGAAACTAAAGTCAAAAGCCCATTCAAAACCTGCCTTTAAAAAAAATCTATCCTACCTGAAAAGTACAGTATATCTTTATGGTGGTACAGCACAGACTTGGAAGAAGGCATGCCATCTACTGCACTACATATCATTGTCCCAATGAAGGTTTGTCCTAGAGGTGCCAATACCAACTACGACAGAATCCTGCTCGGTTTATGGTAACATCCTAGTTGGTTTGTTGTTCCATAACCCACAACAAACTACAGAAACTTTTCATCTGTTTTCTGATGTAATTTGTGAGAGGCTCTGACACAGACCAGACGTACTACTTCAATCTCATTTCCAGATGACACCAGGTTGCAAAATACTGTAAAAGGAAGTTCACTGCTGGCCATGAATCTAACCACCTCCCCTGGCAACAACAAATAAATGGCATAGAGAAAACTTCATCGCTCAAAACAAAACATGCGTCATATTCTAGATTTCCCACAATATTCCATATTGAGGCTCCCATTTCTGAGAGCTACCATTTAGCAGTTGCCTTTTTGTGCCACCAAGACAGCACCCACTTGCACTCATTTACATTATTAGGACAGTTGTGACTGCTCTGACACAGACAGTATTGAAATATTTAATGGATTTTTAATCTGCCTTTTCAAGCAGCTAGCAAATGGAATACAATAACTTCATGGGATTAATCAGTACGCACGAACAACTAGCACGAAGATAGCGCTTCCAATACCACAAATGCTCCATATTTCACAGGTTGCCTTAGCTTTTTTAAAAAAAGGCAAAACCAGAGGAAAAACTGCTACAACAGGAATTATTTTAAGGGGTAGCATTCTGCACCTCAGGATTAAATGAAAATACAAATTCAGATCTTTTCTGTATGCTCCACACTTCTATTTTAGTCCCTGTAAACCATGCCCTATGTGCATACAGAAACAGCCATGTAAGAAAACACGTTACTGAAGGCAACAAGTTGTGGGGTAGATACACGTTAGGTCTTGCCAACAATTCCTCAAACTTGCAGCACTCCCTCCCTGCCCAGACCACCTGCTTTGAGCATTAGTCCTCGGTTAGACAACATGGTGTATTTGTCTCTCCCTGTTTAAGTAGCCCTCTCAATAATGTTAACCCAAAGAATGTCTAGAATAAACCAAAAAGGGGTTGGTTAAACAAATACACAGCTTTCTGGTACGTAAACTGGACTAGGTTTGTGGGTTTGTTTTTTAATCAGTGCTTGATTGAGGATCAAACAAATTACAAAACAATATTCCATGTGGATAAAACATATACCTCAAGTTCTTTCTGGTCGAAAGGCTTAAGGAGATGTTGAGGAATAAGTTCATTAAAACCCTTCTGCAGAGCCAGGAACTGCGCCTCTATTCCTCTCATAAATCTCCAGTTTACATACAACCTGGGGAGGGGGAAGAAAAAGTCAGGGATGATGAGCTACATAGGACTGGGCTTTTTATAGCAGAGCTGGAAAATGCTCATTTTACAGAGGAGCTTGTTTTAATACACACATTTGGTATTACAAAAGAAGTGCTAATCAGTTTCTTTTTCCATCAACAATTTATTACTGCACCATCAACAGAAAAAACAAACTACAATTCACAGCTTCACCTTCCCAGGTCTTACAACATGGCATTGTGTGAAAATGCTCATGTCATTTATGACTCAGGTATTTCCCCCTAAAATACTTATGTCGTTAGTTTCACTATATAAAAAATTAATCTGTTTACTACTTTCTTTCCACTGCATTTGCAGGATATATTTTTGTTCTGCAATACCTGACATATTCTTTCTTGTTCTCTTCTGTCACTGGAATATTCCTACCATTTGGTTTGAGTTCATGCTGTAAAATCCGCCCAAAAGCGTTGTGTTCCACACAAAACGTATGGTCCAGAACTGGGGTGATATCGTTCTCTCTGGCAATGGAAAGACAGAGGGTAAACCTAGTATTTTTGATATTTTGATAACTCTCAGTGCTGGTGCTGACAGTTTGTTATTTGAACGCTTCATCTTCAGGATAAACCTCGTAACTAGCCATCTGCATTTCACACCACTAGAGGAATATTGCCACAATCACCAACTTCTGTATAGCTTAATGCACGTTGAATAGCCTGACCAGATGTGTCATCCTCGCTGTTCTAATTCTAGTAGTACTCAGGATAATGAAGAAATAATTAAACCCTATATACACACACACAGAGCAATAAACTGATCTGCTGTTATGCATCCATGTGAAGCATGGAAGAGATCACTACTTTAAACACAAAATTCACAAGAGTATTTAGGGGGGGAAAAAAAATCAAGATAACGCAAAGCAGTGCTGAAGAGTCCCAAAGCTACACTGAACGATGGATTTTGTTCTGAGCTGTAAGTGTACAGAAGCCCAAATTACTTTCCATTTTAATCAAAGTTGGTTTTCTTTTGAACAAGGCTGTACTTCCCCTCAGAACTCTGTCCTGAGTTTGAATTTTGATACTGTGAGATTCTACCATACCCATGCAACATTTAATGATTTAGTATCTACTTTGCTGCAAGGAGAGCTAACACAGAGTTTGCAATGAGAATTTTTTCTCAAGTACCTTGACTTTTTTGACATAGAAACAGTGGTTTAAGAATTTTGTACAAATCTCCCCCATTACAAGATTTTTGCAAACATTTTCTATAAAGCATTATTTCTCTATTATCAACATACTCTACTCCACCTTCTCTACAGCAAGGCAATTGATAAACACAGTACTTACAAGATCCAGACTAAACTTTTGTGTAATTCTGGGTCAACAGATTCCAGATCGGAGAGCTGAATGGGCTTCCCCAGAAGCTGTTTGTAAAAGGGAACCGTGAAACCCCCATTGATATAGTGTCCATGGAACACAGCCAAACCCATTATCCGACCAACAAAATGGAAATAAGACAAATGGTCCTGCAGGGAGAGAGGGGAGAAAAATCAGGCAGCGGGAAGATACTGACATCTTGTGGTTATCAGTCCTGTGTTCGGTGCAAGTTATCTGCAACCCTCTGGGCAAGAGGAGCCACCATTTTTCCTCATAACATAACCAAGAACAGAAGCATTTAATGATTAAATGCCTCAAACATGCCTCTGTGCATTATCTGACTAATAAATTGGATACAAATCCTCTAGACCTCTCAAAGGGCAAGACTCCTGAAAAGAAAATCCCCATGAAACCCTCAGAATCCAAGATATGACAATTCCAAACAAATTAGTTTATTCTTTAACCATCAAAATATTCATGTTTTTCATGTTGCTTATAAATTGACTTTTGAAAACTGAGGCGTAAGTCCTATGAGTGAGATTCTTCCAATCTATTTCCCTCATCTTACAGAGCAAATGTCAGGAAATGTCACGTCAGGAAAAATTCCCCTGTACTAATACAATTGCTGCTCTTTTTAGAGTCCGCATCAATACAAATCCTCCAGTAAAGAAAAAAAAAAAGCAAGCAGAGCAGCTTATTGAGAAAGGGCAAGCAAGGCACACAAGCCCCTGCAGTCATGGGGTGAACACTGCTTAGGTTGCCATGCTGTTTTCACAACCGCCGGATTCAGAGTGAAGATGAATTTCACCCGTGTGTATCTTCTCAGAATCGCTGTGCATCCCAGTCAGTACCGAGGAGTCTCAAAGAAATCAGATACTTATTAAAGGATTCCTCCTCTCTCACATTTTCCTTTCTGAACAAGCCCCCTCTGCTTCACACCACATCAACGTCAGACTCATTAACACATTCTTAATCGGCTTTACCATTCAGTTTACACTTTTGTCATGGAAGAACAGCTATAATAAAAAACTGCAGGGGGCATCTGTTAAGGTAGGTATGTCACTCAGAAGTTCATACTTACAGGATTGATAGAAGAGTCTGGATTGATTTGCAGCATGTAAATATTATCTGTGGAGTACTGGAAGAGTCCGTAATAGGGATTCAACATTTCATGGCACAGTAAATACAACCATTCTCTGGTAGGGGAAAAAAAATAGAAAGTATTTTAGAAGTGTGCAACTTCCACTTAAGTTTCAGACAACATAATTACTGTGAATCATCAAACTAGTCATCAGTTATGAAATGCTTATTTCAAAATCAGATCACCTTGCACTGCCCTCCATTTGCAGACCAAAAAGGTGTGCTTAAAAACCTATAAAGTGTCTTACTCCACTCACAGGCAGACTTGTTTTAGTTTAGAAGTACTGAAGGGATTAACACCAATTAGAGAAACTACAGCAAGCTGTTATGAAATGCCATTATACTCTTCACCTGTTCCCTGAACACTATCAGAGACATGCTTAAACAAGTAAGAGTCTGAACAAGACCCACTTCCAAAAAAGTTTGACTTTGTACAGAGTTCAGATATTTGGAGAGTAAGAAATCTGCTCCTTTGCAGGAGGATGTAAAAAAAACAACCCAGGACATACAATCAACTCCAGAACTTCAGATCTGATGTGACCCACAGGGAATTATTATTATTATTAAGAGGGAGGCAAGTCTTCTCTAAAATTTTAGCCTTTGTTTAGGATTAGCTCACTTCCAT